CATTACGGCTATAAATATGCATAGTCACGAACCATCTGCAGCTAAAGTATAGCGGATAAAATTGTTACAAAATTAAGAAAAGGGCTCTAGATACGAATCAACGTGTCAAGGTAATAAATGAGGTATCTAAAATACTGATGTTATTGTCAGGAGTTTCCCAATCAACAAGCTTTAAAGAAGTTAATCAGAAGAATCGCAATGAAATACATCAGCCCATCAAACTTACAAATCTGGCTGACCTCGAAATACCTGAATGTTATAAAACGTATGAGTCAGAACCGAAAACTGAAACTTTCTTGCTAGCTGACAGTGGACCGGGTGTAGACAGACACTAATATTTGGTCGTCAACGAAATTTGAAATAGTATTAATCGCGATGGTTTTTGGCGGATCGACGTTAAAATTGCGCCAAATTTATTCAAACAAATTTTATGTCGTTTTAACAAAAATTTGAGGTACCACCCTATATTTATGCAATTGCTGCCTAATAAATGTAGAGTAACATATGACAAATTCGTTTGGCAAGTGATTAAAGTATTACTACCAAATCTCGGATCCAAAGTCTATAACCAGACTATGGAAATGGCTTAAAGTGTTTCAGAAATATTTCCACGTCGAAATTGAGGTTGTTTTTCATTTGGTGAAAAATATGAAAAGTTATGCGAATTAGGCTTAACAAATCGTTATAATAATGAACCAAATTTTCGTTGTACGCAAAATGGTTACAGCTTGGCGTTGTTCCACTGAAGACATAGATACTTTGTTATCATTATCTGAAAACTTTACCGGATGACGTGCAACCAATTTTAGACTGTCTGAAGACAACTACGTTTGAAGAATGAATAGAGAGGTAATGAACGAAGACAACCTTTTGTTTCCTCACGAAATGTGGAATGTCTTCAACAGAACTTAAATCAACAGGACAGAACTAATCATGTTGAAGCAGCTCATCGTCGCCTTCAGATCGAATTAAGTATGGATCATCCTACAATCTGGAAACTTATATACCACGAAAAGTGCAAGTCAATCGTGACTTCTACTATGAACACCTTGTGGTTGGGCACAATCCACCGCAAATTAAAGAAGTACAGGGATACTGATCAACGTATTTTAACGGGATTGTTCGGGACTATCATAGCAGAGACATTTTTGAATATTTAAGAGGGATAGCGTATACCACCAAATGAACTTATAAATATAGAGAAATTAAATTTAAAAAGAGAGAGAAAGATTCATGTAGATATAACAAAACGACAATAATAATATTGAAATAATAATAATAATATAATAACAGGTTAATATATACACACAACTAATAAATATATAATCAATTAATAATTAACTATTAGCCTAGCTATCCAGCGTCCACTTTACTCGTGCCACTTGATCCCGCGCCCAGTTGGCCGCGCCGAGTTAACCGCGCCTATTTGGCGGCGCCTAATTGTCCCATTCCGTTCCTTTCCATTCCCCAAGTCTTTTTTTTATGCCATTTTCATTGGATGAAATAGTGCTACATCTAATGGCTGGGTAAGATGCGTGCTGTTATGCTGTTAGGTGGTAGGCACACAAAATATATATTATTTTCTTTACACTTATCAATGACTTCAGGTGTTAAATGAGATGACAAGTTGTCACAAATTACAACTTTTTTACCAGGTTTTTTTTTTTAAAATGACGAAGTAGTGTATTATTAAACCAATCAGTAAAAATATTTGCATCAAACCATCTAGAGGTTGTGGCATCATAGCGGCAGTCTTTGGGTTAGGTTAGGAAAAAACTGAGTAATTTTTATATTATCTCTTTCAATATGATATTCAATTTATGGTACAGATATTGGTCTTAACTATTACCGTTATTTTTTGTGTTATTGTTTTAATTAGCTTTGTATGTATTTGTTGTTATGTGGGATGTGTGTTATTAACTATCTCGGATATTATCATACATGTTATTTAATTTTATACAATTAATTTATTGATTAATATTTATTTTGCTTAAATTTCTTCAGTGGTATTTATCATCATTGTTTTGGTATTTAATTTATGACTCCTTTGTCATGCATAATGTTATTCCATTTGGTTATCTTGTTACAATGTCTGTGTGATAATTCAATGATATTATTGTCGTTTAACAAGGTGTTTGGTGATATGCTGGGGTAGGAATGGTTAAAAATATCTCAATCATATAATTTTAATACCTACAAATAATAATCAACTAAAAAATAAACAAAACGTGTTTAATTATAACACAAACATACTAAATTCTTATATATATATATATATATATATATATAAAAAAAAAAAAAAAAAAAAATAGTAACTTACCACTACCAAACTTGAATGTAAGTAATACAATAGTAACATTATTATAATACAAAATAGAGTAACCAAACCACACATTGTTTTTTAAGACATTTCCTCATTTTTCTGTATGAAATCCACAGTCTGACCTCCATTCACATTTATCTATGTTGTATTGATTGTAGTCAACCTAACACCTCATCATATTCTATATTTAATTAGTTATAAGTCATGAAAACTCCAATTTTATCCTACAGTTTTGACAATTATTACATGAACAAAAAAAAAAAAAAAAAACATTTTTATACTTAATGATGTTCATTTTTTTTGTAAGTAAACTTAGCAGTAAAATTATAATATTTACCTTATTGAAAATAAAAATGTATGATGTAATTTTTTTCTAAATTATGACTTAAGTTTTTTCTCATTAATACATTAAAATCATTTGTTGATAAATCAAAATATTTCAACATTAATTTTATCATTACATTTTAATAATAATAGTGATTGTATACACTTCTAATAGCTATTTGTTCTTTGCTACCATAGTTGTATTAATTACTAGTGTTGATGATAATTGTAAGTTTGCCATTCAACAAATCACAGTAAAATTGGCTTTGACTATACATATAATTCAATAAATATACTTGTATGAGCCTCTGGCGCGATTTAACAATTCGTAAGCTCACAAATGTATGTTTGGAAGATTATTTTAAATTGCAGATTGTAATCTTAAGCAAAAACATTGAAAATATTATGTCATTTACATGTCTGAAAAAAAGAAAATTATAATCAAATACATAGTAAAGAATATTTAACTAGTAGTTGTTAAAAAGTGTATAATTTATCATGTATTTTATTAAATTGATTAACTTATCAAACATGTTTAATGAAACTTAGTTGTTATTTAGATGAATAAATTAGTTGGTAAATAAGTAATAATTACATAACACTGAAACACTAAAGAAAAAAAAATGTGATGTATAAAAATTACACAATTTAAAATAAATTTTTTTTTTTAAATATATGATTAATAGTTTGCATCTATTAAAATAAATATATTATTTCATTTTATTAAAATATTACATCATACATGATTCTTTTATTTGTATTATATGATAATATGATTTTGATGAGTTAGAATTAAGATTATCTTAAAAAATTATTAAGCATAAAAATAGTTTTCATTTTGTTTTTTCTGTTATCAAACAACAAAGTGTAATAAGTTTTTTCATTGTATTTTTGTCAAGGCTGTTATATCATCTTAACCCTATATAAAGCATAATGTAAAATATCCAATCATTATGAAATTATTATGAAATTTCATAACTTGCATCTATAAGCATAAAAAATTATAGCAAAATAATATTTTTTTACTCTTCTAGGTATGGTTCATAAAATAAAAACTTTAAAAAATATTACTAATACATATCACGAATACGTACTACTATATTCTATTTCATACCTCTAGGTGTCAAAAAATTGTATATTTCATGATTTTTCACGCATTGCTTTTTTCAGTATTCGCTGCACGGGTCCTAACAAATCAAATTTAGACATTTCTCACTTAGGTCTTGCATTATTTTTTGGTTTTAACAATGAAATGAGTTTTGTAATAACGTTTTTTATTTTATATTAAACGCTTATTTAATCGTAATGTATTTCTCGTCAAAATGAAGGTATTCACTTTTTATAATATAAAACTTTTTCATACTATTTAACCAATTTTTTGATATTTGCACATCGAACACATAATTAGTCAGTTTCATGCTTCGATTTCTTCTCGTTATAGCTGAAATATGTGCTTTTGATGACCTCATAGATGAAAGTATATGGCTTTAACAATGAAATGAGTTTTGTAATAACGTTTTTTATTTTATATTAAACGCTTATTTAATCATAATGTATTTCTCGTAAAAATGATTAAATCGTTTTTTACAACAGGGTGTTCAACGATCACACCTTTACTTTCAAGCCAATCAATAATTGCTTGTTTTCTCCACGACTTCATTGGTATTTTATGTTTCTTCACGGAGTGGTATGAGGCATTATCCATTACAATGATGACGTTTTTTTAAGTAATGGCAAAGTTTTAACAAACCATTCATAAAATGTATCGCCATTCATTTCGTCATGGTAGTCGGTAGAATTGGTTTTGGATTCAAAACCCAAAAGGTCCCTCGGCACAAAACTGTTTGACAAACCGATATATAATATAATGAGTAGCTTACCTTTACCGGAGGGTTCCTTTTGTCTTGTGGTAAGTCCTCTGAGAAATGCATCTTTTGTTGGTGTGACCCTGGTATCTACCTATCCTCTGCTATGCGTCTCACCTGCGTTGACCCACGTCTCATCCAAATAATATATTAACCTGTTCTGTGCTCGATAATGCTTTAAGGTCTATTTACACACAGCAGTGACGTGACAGTGCCGTGACCGTGCCGTACCCGTTCCGGGATTCTACCGGCCGTGATTTCTATTCACATTGGTCAGTGATTCATCCGTCATTGAGTAGTGTACATCGTATCTGCCACGATGACTTTGTTTTCGGAAATTAACTTTTGATGATTGCTTTGATTTTGGACGAAGAGGAGGAAGAAGAAGTAGTAAAAAAAAAACGGATATGGGTTCATCAGGCATGGAAGAAAGGCCAACATAAGGGGAATTTTCTACTCTATATAAGGAATTGATGGACGATGGAACAAAGTTTTTTGAATACTTTAGAATGTCGGAAAATTCATTCAACTTACTGTTAAGCAAATTAGAAATTCATCTAAAAAAACAAGACACACACTGGAGAAAAGCTATTACACCAAAAGAACGGCTCGCAGTTTGTTTAAGGTAATTACAGATATAAATATTATTTAATACAATACAAATTGATTTATTTTTAATACACAAAATAAAAATTTAAAGCTTACAACATTAATTTTTATTAAATAATTTTTAAAAATGTTCAATTCTTTCACGTTCTTTCAACTCAATATTTTTGAAAATATGCTGTAAAGTCTTGGTTTTGATCACTTAATGAATTAGTGAAAGAAGAAGTTGTTGGAGTAGGATGATCGGCTGCAGGGGAGGACTGTTCAGAGTATGATGAAGTAGAATACGTTGAAATAGGAGATGGCTGCGCAAATTGTTCCTGGTCCATAATCATTTTAAGCTCGTAGTTTTGAACGGCAGCAAAAATATCAGATTTAGCGTAATGCCAGTAGCGTGGGGTTAATTTTTTCAAAACTGGAGCTATTCCGGATAAAAAAGCGTCAACAGGATGTTTTGGTTCCAATGGTACCATACTTTCATTTTTTTTTACCAAGTACTCCATAACAGTAGCAGCGGCTGTCTTTGAAGGAGGAGTGTCTGGTACCGAGTATTTTGTTTTCTTTCGTGGTATTGAAAATTGAGAGGAACCTGATTGTTTTAAACTTGGCAAAGGACAACTATTTTGTGACTCTACAATCACAGGATTATCAACTTCTTCTGTGGTACAGTTTCGAGAGTATTCTTCATTTTCGTTAGGTTCATTATAGTCATCATCAACATTAATATATTCATTTGCGACTTTGTCATCAATGTTTGACATTGTGTCCCTCTCATCAAAGAATTTCGTTATAAAACTCAACTGCTGTGCATATTTGTACTGCTTTATTATTTTCGCCTTTTGACCACTCACAGTTTTATTTTTCTTCACAGATTTTCTGAAGTTGTCTCTTATATTTCCCCACCTACTTTTAGCCGAAGGCCCTGAAATAGACAAAAATATAATGCTACATATAAAACATTTATATTCGTATAATTTATTCACTTAACATATAATATTATGTACCTTACATATATTCTTAAAGCATGTTACAAAATTTAAAATGATAACTATTGCTAAAAAAAACTCATTATCATATACATAACATTAAAATAATAAACAATTAAATATTTATAAAATTAAAATAGTAGTTACACAAATTTGTAAAACCAGTCCATTAGAAAATACTTCTTGTGTATTTTGAGTGAAAATAAATGAAAATATTATAGGAATATTAATGTTTTACATTATTTGGATTGAACATTTTTATATTGTCATTTTTATAGATATTTGGCCACGGGTGATTCGCTTAAAACAATTTCGTTTAGCTATCGCATGGGGCATAGTACAGTTTACAAGATCGTTCGAGAAACCTGTCAAATAATTACTGAAAATCTTATGGACGAGTTGATGCCTACACCGACCGAAGAAATGTGGGAGAATATAGCTGATGATTTTTTTCGTATGTGGAATTTTCCGGGATGTATCGGGGCTCTGGATGGAAAACACGTTACCATTCAAGCACCTCCAAATACAGGAACAATGTTTTTTAATTATAAAAAGACATTCTCTATAGTTTTGTTGGCTCTTGTGGATGCTCACTGTAATTTTATTGCTGTTAATGTAGGGGCATATGGCAAGAGTCATGATGGAGGTGTTTTTTCTAATTCAAATTTAGGTAAAGCACTTCATCGTGGATCATTGAATATTCCAGCTAATTTGACCATACCCAACACAGATACACAAGTCCCATATGTAATTGTAGGTGATGAGGCATTTCCTCTAAAACCTTACTTGATGCGACCTTATCCAGGGGACAAATTAGATGACCGAAAGCGCAACTTCAATTACCGTTTGAGTCGTGCCAGGAGGACATCAGAAAATACATTCGGTATACTTACGCAAAAATTTAGACTCTACAATAGACGAATTCAGGCATTTCCAAAACATGTAGATTACATAATTTTGGCCACTTGTTTACTACATAATTTCATTAAAAAATACGATTCGTATACATACAATTACGTAACTCAACAAGCGGATAGAAGTAACGGTCATACACTACAACATTTAAATTTGCAAGGAGGGAACGCAACGACAGACGCATTTCGTGTTAGGGAAGTATTCACTGAATACTTTAATTCTGAGGTTGGGTCTCTACCTTGGATATAAAATAATTAAATTTAAGAAAATAATGTATGAAATAAAAGGACGATTTAAAAATATTACTCGTATTATTATAAAAATATGTTATAAGTTATAAGTTTATAATCTAAGACCATAATATTCTATATTTTATATTCATTATTAATAATAATAACATAATTGATAATGTATTTAATGTTTTTTTTATAATATAATATGTTTAAACATGATATAATGTGTACATAATATAATATTTATATAAATAAATAATGTATTTCTTACCAGTTGTTTCCATTTCTTCTGCTATTTTACTCCAAATAGTATTCTTGTAATCTGTGTCCATGTACTTTGCATGTGATAAATCATACAATACGGGATATTTCCGCACTAATTCAATAAGTTTTTCGTCGTTCATTTTTACGAAAATTGAGAGAGTCAATGAATTACAACAAAAATCACTGCCGTGAAATATGAAAAATATCGTCGGCAAGTAATCGCAAATTCACGGTACGACGACGGCGACAACACTGTTTTCGTCGGTACGGTCACGCGCCGGACGAGTGAGAACATCATGCTTATCTTTCCTTTAAGAATATTATTAATTTTGCCGGGGGAATCCCGGAACGGTCACGGCACTGTCACGTCACTGCTGTGTGTAAATAGACCTTTAATGAAAAAAAAAAAATGCAAAAAATCCGTTATACACAGATTCTTATGAAGCCGCCCGAATATCGCCGGAACGGGGTTCGAACCCAGATAGCATTTTCGTAATGATAATAATTTATTAATATCATATCTTCATTAAAAACATAATATTATAATATAAATAATGATTTTGTTAAATAATATTATGAAAATATTAATATTAAAATAATATTCTGAATATGATATCATTACGTTATTATAAATGAATTGTTTGAATTATATTTTAAATTTGTTATTAATATGATATGATAATCAAAATAATAAAATAACATTCTAGAAATATCATCATAATATTATTTAAATATAAATATTTATATATACTGTAATAATTATATATAATATAATATATGGTTATATAAATGATATCATCAATTTATAAGAACATTTATTTAATTTTTAATAATAGATTCTTATTATTTTAATATATCGTTTGTATTATTATATATTCAATGTATAAAAAATAATTATTAAAGCATTTTAAATTTATAAATATGTTTGGGTAGAACACTAGAACACGATTCCATACGTGGTCCTTATCAGCATATGGAATACATCATATTATATTTTTAAGACACACGATTTCGTACGTTTTGTACCCAACATTTTAGTGTAATGTCAAATTTCCATAAGGTTACGTAGATATTTGACTATTTGACTTAGTTATAGTGTTTTACGTACATTTCGCGTATACCTACGTAACTATAAGTAAGGGATTAAACAGACTGCAGATATTTTTTTATTATTATTTATTGTTAGACGTTAGTACAATAAATGAATAGGAGAGTTTCCATAGAGCATTATAAAATATTTATCAAGTATTTGTAACAAATACAAAGGTATAAAATTATTATTATTTTTATGTTCAAATATTCGTTAAATTCGTTAATTGTGGTGTGACATATTTTTTTGATGAACTGGAGTTCATCAAATTTTTTTATAACATTATTTATTAACATTAATTAGACGAATTGACAATAAATAGTAAATAGAAACATTGCACAGAAAATCGTACGTAATCGTGTTGTTTTTGGGGACATTTTGACTATCTATTATTGTTTGATCAAATTCATACGGAATCGTGCTTTACCGTAATATTTGATATTGAATTTAATAAATAGCAATTCGTATCGTGCATTTATACTATCAAGTATCAACTATTATAGTATCATAATCATTCATCACTATTATGATTATTATAGGCTCATGCTCAATATTGTAATTACTATTTTATAAATATGTTTCCCGGTATTCTCAAGCGGTGGTCAACTTCTGATAGCACGGCGATATAATATATATATTTATATATATATTCATATATATATAATTATATATACGTAATTCATATTACATAATACTCAGGTCGCAGTGAATCAAATTTGTATAAAATTGAATTTAAATAATTTAATATAATATTACTTATAAAAGTACTTACATATTATATTTGTCTTTAAAAAAATTTTTAATGCAATATAAGTACACGATAAGTTATTATGTACCGGCCCACTGTACAAATGCACAGTAGCCCAAACCGCTCATGGTGTAGTGGTGTAGGGGAGAATGGGGGAATGCCGGTCACCTAAGCGGGAATTCGTGTATCTCCGGTAATAAAAAACCAAATATTTTTCTACTGCTTACATTAGAACTATAAAGTTGTTAGCTACTACATATACAATTTTCAAAATTTTAAATTAAGTGCAACTTCTTTTTATTTTTATTTTTTAAAAAATCGCAAATGACCGGTATTCCCCTTACCCTGGGGTAATACCAGTCACACAAAAGCCCCATATAAACACATAGGTAATTCAACATTTATTATCAAAACATTACATTTTACATCAAATCAGTATTTTTAAGTAACACATCGTTCTTATGTACCATTGAGAAAGTAATAACAATGTATACATTCTAAATTAATTATCTAGCCTTAATAATAGGATCTTTATAGTATCTTTTTTATATTTCTTTAAATAAAGTAATAACAATTCATAACAAAATAAATATAAAGTCTTTTAAATTTAAAAATACAGAACCCTTTAATATTTAATTTTTAATTCGTCTTAGAAAAAATAACAATATTAAATTAGGATTAATTATCCATTCTTAATCATATCAGTTCATATTTTTAAAAATAAAGTAATAACAATTCTTAACAAAATAAATTAAGTCTTTTAAATTTCATATTATAGGAGCCTTTAACTATAGGTAAACAACTTGTTTTACTTAATTTAAAAATAATATTATATAAATACCTAATAAACTTAGAAAAAAATAACAACATTAAATTAGGATTAATTATCCATTCTTAATAATAACAGTTCATATTTTTAAAAATAAAGAAATAACAATTCATAACAAAATAAATTTAGTCTTTTAAATTGCATATTATAGGACCTTTTAACTATAGGTAAACAACTTGTTTTACCTACTAGTATTTAAAAATAATAATATATGAATACCTAATATACTTGAAAAAATAATATGTAATTAGGAAGTGCTTATTTCTTGGCCATTTCTTTTTTTCTGATCATCCTCATGCAAATGTCACAAATATAGTCAACTGCAGTATCAGCTCCACTACATTCTGAATGTACCCAGAAACCGCATTGTGTGCACCTGTACCAAAATTCATCTTTTCCACTCTCTTCGCATATTAAGCAAACCTCCTCGCCATCATTAACATTATCATCACTGTTGTCATCAACTATTTCTATCATATCAACATCACTAACTGAACTAGAACCGATGTCCTCAAATAATTTTCGTTTTGTTAATTTCTTCTTGTTTGACTCTAAACAAAGTTAAATAATATAATAGTTAGTAAAGATACATTTTAATAAAATAATTTGTATGAATATAAATCATAAAAAATTTACTCACTCTTTGGTTTAGGCTTTTGTTCTTTTTTTTGAGGGGGAGCGGCAGGTTTTTCTTTCTTTATTTTCGTTTTTCTTTTATTTTCTTTTAATTCGAGTATCGTTTTCATTGGAGTAGATGTTATAACAGTAGAGTGCTATTTTGCAGATCTTCGGCGAACCACTTTTGGAGATTGTTTTTTTGGAATTGGCGTAATTGATTTAAAGGTAACAAGATATTCCGACGATGTAGATGTAGAAGGCACGGGGTTTTTTATAACATTTTTTGTAGAATTTGATGGTTCTTCAGAAGTAGAATTCATTTCAATAACAACTGGAGATAAGGTGTTGGTATCGTCAGTAGCAAATGTGTTAGCTGCGAAAAAAATCCTCTTCGGTAAAAATATTTGGGTTCATTGGATATATTCCTGTCGAACTAAACCCAGATACACCTTTTTGTATTGTTGCCACTATAGAATATACTTTATTAAACAGTTCAGCCAAATCATACGGGGTTATTTTTACAAGTGAATTTGACTTCATAAATAAATCACATTCTCTTTTAAATGCCTGCTTTAGTGGTCCAAAAAATGTGACATCAAGAGGTTGCATTCGATGTGAGGTATGTGGTGGCAATGACAACATAATTATATTATTTTTTTTACAAAAATCATAAGCAGGCAAATTAATATGACTTCCATGGTTGTCTAATATAAGGAGAACGGGTTCCGCCGTTGATGGTTTCGTATGATTAACAAAATGCTGTAACCAAACAAGGAAAATATCCTCATTGGACCACCCGTTTTTGGTACACTGATATACTGTACCTGGAGGACCATTTCTTTGTAATTGATGACACATTCTCTTTCTTGGGAAAATAAATATAGGAGTAACAAATGTACCTGACGCACTCATGGAACAAATAACAGTTACGTTTTTACCTCTTTCCCAGCTCGTGACAGAACCTACACGTTTTTGGCCTTTAGGTGCTATTATTCTTCCTGGGTCTTGTACGGTGGAAATTCCGGTTTCGTCCATATTAAAAATGCGTGAAGGAACAAATGAATACTTTTCCATTAACATCTTAAGATTTTCAAAAAAAAGTGAAACTTCAGTTTTGTTAAAAGCTGTTATACGACTAATACTGGTTGCTTCAGGTTTTCTAATGGTTATTGATGGATTACATCTAATAAAATTATAAAACCAATCTATTCCCGCAAGTTTAAGACTACTATTAAAATTGTGTTCAAGTTTGTTATCTTCTGCAAACGTAAAAGCAGCACTTCTTAATTGCAAAGGTGTAATTCCATAAAATAGTTTTGCCAAATCTTTTATATGTTCAGTCATATCATTTTCTAGATCAATACAAAATACAGGTTTACGCCCAAGATTTAAAATTTGGGTTTGGCCCTTTTTAATCCTTTCTTGGAATGTGCTGAACGGGATACCATAGGCTTTTGAGGCTTTTCTAATGCTCATTTCCTTATTGGAAATTGCACTCATAGCATTTAATAAGTTTTCATGTGACCAATCACTTCGATTTGTAACTCTAACATACTTACGCGGCATCTAAGTAAAAATATACTTAATTATTCAATGATAATAAACAAATTTCTAGGTAGGGAACTATATTTAAAAAAAATAAACAAATTAATAACGATATATTATTATTAATTTGTTAATTAATATTGCATTTTAATTGTGCACTAAAATATAAATGGGGCAATACCGGTCGGGATTTATAATATGATAATTGACCGGTATTACCCCACACACTTTGGCTGGTATTACCCCTTTCGTATATGTTTTACACAAATGACTAAAACATTAATTTGATGATAAATAGAACTAGATTAAGTATAGGAACATATTCTGTATGTATTAAGGATTATATTCTACTAAAACAAAGTAAAGAAAAAGGAAAAAATCTTACCTTACAAGGATGATTAAGTGTTCAGATTTTAGTAGTGAAATGTGATAAGAAATGTTATCACATTTTTGTTCGGGAAAAAATCATACAATTATCACGCCATATTAAATTTTAGATAACGATATCATAATTTATTAATCAAAAGTGTTTGTATAACCTCAAATATGATAGTTTTGTTTAAATGTTAGTGACCGGTATTCCCCCATTCACCCCTACTCTTATACCTACCTACCTAAAATTATTGCGATTAATATAAAACTCGCAAAATGATTAACATTTACGTAAAATGTAATTGTACAAAATCCATTTTGACTAAATAATAATGAACGCTTTGTCGCTTTGATCAAAATAATTTTATGTGTAATGTGTTATAATATGGTATTCTATATTTCAATGTGATATTCTATCATAGACATTTAAGATTTAAATATAATAATATACATAGGCGTGCGCACGGGGCGAGCCGGGCGAGCCCTGGCTCGACCGG